TCACAGGTAATCAGGTCACGACTGTGCTGGCTCCTTCTATAGGCTCTGAGAGCCACGAGGAGAAGAAGAAGGAGAGAAAAAGAAGAAGAGAAAAAGAAGAAGGAGAGAAAAAGAAAAAAGATAAAGCTCTCCAGGATACCCCCAGGAAAAAGTGAAACACAGGTGTTGAAGCTGGATGCAGCATCACTTATTTTTTGAAAGGAACGTGTTTTTGCACAGTAACAAACACATGGAGCTGCTAAAAGTGATGCCAGGATCTGTTGTGGATTTTAGAGTTCAGGGCTCCTGTGACAGTGAAACCCTCCAGCGTTGCCCTGGGAAAGGTGCTCAGCGTTTTGGTGAGAACTGCAGGTGGAAACACAAGTTAGTCACGATTGATTTAGGTTATTTATAAAATCCACCTCACATCATCTGCCAATCCGCTGCTTCACCACTCGGGCAGTTCACAAGAATGGGAAACCCCAGGACAAAGCAGCTTTTCCAGTCAGCAGCTGCTGTGGGATGGTTCCCTGCTCTCCACCCAGGGCCACCGCTCATACCGCTGCCGATGCTTGGCCACGTCCCCTCCAGCAGAGCAGCCCCCTCCTGCCTCCCCGTCCCGTGTCACCTGCCCCGCACCAGGGCAGGGGAAAGCACAGCCCAGGGGGCTGCACAGCACTGCCCACCCCTCCATGGATATGAAGTAGGAACGTTTCAGTGGAGAACAAGCAGAGGTATTTATTAGATGTGTAAATATAGAGGGTCCTGAGGAGCTACATCAGGCTGGAGACAGCACGGGCACTCCAGCTCTCCTGCTGCTCTGCCAGGGCAGAGACACTGCTGGGACAAACAGCACTGTGCACAGAGCAACACATGGCAGGGACTGTGTGGAAACGTGGAGTTCTTAAAAAAAAAACAAACCCAAACAAAAAACCACCACCACCACCAACAAAAACAAAAACAAACAAACAAAAAAACCCACCCCCAAAACCAATGAAGTCTCCCAAGTCTGACAGTCTGAGAGCTGGCAGGCACTTTGGCCTGTCAGCTTACAAGTCACCATCCCCAAGGGACCATGTTCCTGGGCCTCCGAGCAGTCTGGCTGATACGTAAGTTGACCCAGCAAGCAGATGTCCCCAACCCCTTGGAAGATCCTTTCTGCAGCCTTCACACAGCTCTCCGCCACGCAGGATCTGGAGGTAGCAAGAAGAGTCCTTAACCAGTGAGAAACTGCCTTTTCCACAGAGAAGGTCCCAGCTTCTCCTCCACGAGTACCAGAGGTCCCTCCTGCAGCCTCTCTTCCACCGTGACGGCCCCAGGCTGCCAGGAACCGCGTATGGCCACACTCTGCTGTTCCTGGCACGCTTTGGCTTGTGTCTCAGCACGGTTCTTGGTCCAGGTGCTAGAAGCGTGCTGGGTTTTTTCCTTCCAACTAGGGATAAAGCAAACGTGCTATTCCCAGGTGAGCGCAGCTGTCACAGTGCATCATTAACTCGACATCCGATAAAATGCTTATTTCTCCCCACACAAACCTTGGCTTTAAAATGTAAAAATCTATGTGAAGGTTGAGAAAGAGGGATGTTCTCTCTATATAAATGGAACAGCACCTGTAACATCTTTGTTTCCCTTCTCCGATGCCAACCGCTCCGCCAAGGCTGATCTTTTTGCACAGCAGGCATTTCACCTGCAGAGAAGAGAATTCCTCCTCGTCCCCCCCATCAGAACAGTTTAATCTAGGCAAATACAATCATTCTGGAAGGCTTGGTATGGATTTCTCATGGAATATTCCAGCACAGAGGGCCCGTAAGGGAAGCTGCAGACAAGTGGGAGGAAGGCTTCGGTGACTCCACTGCAGCCACTCTCACACGAGCCGCTGGCCATGGGCTGCTTTGGGCCGCTGCCCCCAGGACCCCTGTCAAAGCACAACACATCCACACCCAGTAACAAACAAGCCTTTTACATGTGAAACAGAGAAATCCAAACAAAAAGCAGCAACCTCTCCCCAAATCTAAAGCACCCCTGCACCTGCCTGTCCTTCCTGCTGTAACGGGCAGGCGGCCGCAGTGGTCACCAGGAGAGCTGACCCAGGCAGACAGAGCTGCTCATGCTCCGAGGGGTCACTTCATTTAATTTCCCCCTGCAGGGCCTCCTCTCACCGGGGCTCTGCTGTGTGGTCAGGCACCATTCGAACTACAGCACCCCAGCTCCACACTGGCTGGGCACAGTGCAAACCTGCCAGACACACACATAATTCAGCTTCAACGATGGAACTGCTTGTGCCATCTCCATAGTAATAAATGCAGCGACGCCCTTAATGCAGCAGATTATATATATAAGCATTCCAAATCTCTTTAGAAGATTAGATTTTATGGGGGTACTAGAGGAACATCGACTAATAAAAATGCTGGAAAAATACCGTGGGGGGCGGGGGGATGTCATCTTCACGTACTTCACTTGGAAACTCGCCCCCCCTGCCCCAGCCTTGACACCCTGAGGGGAAAAGCAGCAACAAATTTTCTCCTATGACTGTCCAAGATGCTTGAAAATGAGATTAAATAACAAGAGACCACAGCTAATCCTTCACTGGCTATCACCGAGTTTTTCCTACTCTGCTCCCAGAGTTCTAGAGAGCCCTCTGCTTCCCAAGAGGACTGCTCAGAACGCTGCTACTACTGCTACTTTTTGAAAGCATGGACTCTGACTATCCTCAGTAGCAACTATCCATTAGAAAAGCACAGTGCTGAACAACCTACCCGAGTCATGGGAGAAGGAATTGCTAAGAAATTACTTATGGTTATTTTCCTCTCAATTTTCTTGATTCAAGTTTGTCACGCACCTAATTAAAAAAAAATAATCAGTTAACATTTCAAATATTTCAGTCAAAGCCTGGACCAAACGTACTTCATTAGCAGGGGATAAACGTGAATTTTGTTTAAAATAATCCAAAGATGTGTTGATACACTAGAGGAAACTACTAGCAGCAGCATCAACGAAAATGACCTTGTCCAGCAAATTGATGAACGCCTCCGAGTCCTGGCACTGGACAGGCTTTTTTTTACCCTGGCAGAAGCTTGCTTGGATGACTGGCTTTACCTAACATGGGATAAACGAGATATTACTGAGGTGTTTTTATGGTCTATGTTTTTATCCTTCAGTTGGTTACCCCTGCTTTACAGGGAAAGTCAAGACTCCATTTCAATTCATGCTGAAGTTCCTCAAGCCAAGTCTGAATCCAAGCTCAGAGGAGGCCAGTGGTTCCCAGTGTCTGGCCCAAGAGTCCCTGGGGAACTGTGCGCTCCCTTCCCGCAGTCCCAGCCCCAGCACAGCTCACAGACCAGCCCCAGTGCTGCAGTGAGGACAGTCACATCTCCAGAGGCAGCAGAGCATCCACTATAGAGCACATGGAGCCAAGTCATGTCATTCTTCTGTGCACACGGTGCTTTTCAGAAGATGCTACAGCACAAAGAGACAAATCAAGCACTTCACCTGAGCACCTTCCCCAATACCTAGGAAGATGCTGTGACTCAGCACGTCAGCATTTGAGAAGGGCATCGCTAATTCAGCCAATGTGGCCAGAACTGTCACTGCTCACCAGCACGACAGATTGTCTCTCTCCCCTGACACCTGTCCTGGAAAAGGATGGAGATGTGCAAACTCAGAAGTGAAAAACCATCCATTCACTGTAAACTGACATTGCTCACGGAGCTTTCACCTCTGGCTCTGTCCCTCTCCGTCTGTGGAGCTGCTTCCCCTCTCCCCTCGCTGTCCCAACGTCCCCGGCTGTCCTCGCCCCTGAGCACTGCAGCAGCCTGGCACCTCCGCAAGCAGGCTGGCTCGCTGCCCAGCCGATTGAAACACCCATGCCTGCTTCATCATATAAATACATGTGGAAGAAATACATAGGTGTGTGCACACACAGTCCCTAAAGGACTTCGGGCAATACTCCAGATCGGAAAATTATGGCTAAGGCAGCTACTCACTTGGCAGCTGTGACCCACACTAGTTCCTTCCGCTCAGGCAGCATCTGCAGCCCCGCAGACCGATTCCCTCGAGTCACTGCTGAGATGCTGTCCCTCCTGGGCTGCAGTTATTTAACAGCCCAGCATGAATCACATACCCAAACCAGTTTAAAGCAAACCAGAACGCATTCTGTCAACTCAGCCTTTGATTTCCTATTAAAAAATAACAATAAAAACTAATTGGATGCTGCTTTTCCTGTTTTTTGCGGCACTGGATCTGCTCAGATTCTCATCAAGAATAATTAAGAGACCAGGCAACTGCCATCAATTCAGCCTGCGCTGCAGAGCTATTGTACCCCGCAGTCTCTCAGCCCCACGCAGTACCCACCCCACCAACTTGGCAGTTATTTCTACACTAGAAATGTAGAAAAAGAAAGGCATGCTGCTTGGCTGGAGCAGGACAAGGAACACTGGGGCTGAGAAGGAAAAGCTCCAGAGAAACACAAGAACAGACTTAGAAAGGAACCTCAGAGAACTGTTTTAACCCAGAGAGGAAACGTGTCCAAATGGCTAATTGCTACCCAGGTCCTCAGACTGCCTGGAGGTTTCAAGCCCATGAATAAGGATTTCTTTTCCCAAGGAGGAGAGGGCACTGTCACTTCCTAGTTACTCTTCCACTTGGCACAACAAACAAGACGAGAGCAGCAAGAGGCACAGGCAGAGAAAACAGCTCTCTGGGTACAAAGCTGAGTTCTTCCCCGTAAGGCCAGGGGATAACACACCTCCTTCTGCAAGACGTGCTCTAGGAGGTGTGCGTGGCCACGGCTGATGTCAGCTCCGAAGAGAGCACACCACCTCCCTGCAGTGCTATTCTGGGATCCAGTTCAGTACAGGAAAAACACACCCAGACAAACAACTGCCAACAGCCTCAGTACCTTGGTGTTCCACCAGCATCGACCTGGACCAGCTCCTCACCTGCCAGCATGTGACTGGAGAGACCCACTGCTGCATTAGTAAACCTTTGTTACTAACAGGCAGTAAGAGAACTAAAACACTCTTGAGTTTGACTTGAAAACATTCTATTTAATTTATACAAATAACTACTAAATAGAAAAAGTAGATTAAAACAAAATAGTTATTTTTCTGGCAGAGTTTAAATGCATATTATATAGCTTAGAAGAAATAAAATGCATTTTCCCCACAGCATTCATGACCTAAAATTCTAGTTAATTCCTCCATTGCTTTCCTGTTCTAGATCAGTAAGATACTAGACACAATGTCATGTGGGTAATGGCTGTATATATGTTCCGTATTTGAACCGAAAATATGTTACAGACCACACACCTACAAATGTGAAGCACTTAAAATGTGACTATCAAGTTGTAATATGGTAATACAGAAAACAAATTATGTTTCAGGTTATACTGTGTTACAAAAACATCTGTGTAAGAAATCATGAAAGAGGCCACATAAAAATAAGCTTTAACTTTATGCACTTATTTTACAGTTTAAAAAACTGGCAAGTGCACTAGTAATAAATAATTTGCAAGTTTTGTATAAACGAGAAATTCCTAATGTTCAGCATTATTGTAAACATCAGTACACATGTAAAATGCAGCTAAAATCTGACAGTTACATTTTCAGTTTACCAAATTCATTTCCTATTATTCAGGCATAGATCAATGTAGTATACAGCCAATCATATTTTTGGCAAGTCATGTCATTAAAATTAACAGTGACAGTGCAAGTAAGGAATGCAAAGAATTCCTAGTGCAATAAAGAAGAGAAGCACAGGCAATATTGCTGATTAAAATTTACCACTTCCACGTGTTCACCCTGGGAGTGATTAGGAGAATTAAAAAAAAAAATAAAATAAAGAAATAAAATAAGCTGTTCAAAGCCATTATTTAATGCCCTGATCTTGTCTTAGGATTTCTCTGTCTTCCTTCAGGCCACTACCTTTGCAACAGTACATCCCGCGTGAGTCCTTACAGCTTGACCCTTTGTGAAATGCCCACTGTAGTCACTGAGCAAAGTCCGTACGGTTCTGGTGCCCCCAAACAGACGGCTTGGTGAGAACTTCTGCCCCTACGAGCAGCCACGGGGGGACCGATCACAGAAACTGTCTGGCCAGTCTGCTTCCGAACCAGACACATGCCTCCCTGTCAGGAGAGCACCACGAGAAGAAGGTCAACAGTCAGCTTTCAGTTTATCTAAGGAATTATCAATTTTGGTCAAAGTCTTTTTGATTCGCAGGGCTGTTAGTCTCGCTGACGGATTTTGATACCAGCATTCTTTCATCAACTTGGCAAGAGATGTTAATGTCTGCGAAAAGAATAAAGACAAAACACGCGTGTAAGTACACAAATCACAAGCCAAGAAAGCACTAGGCTGGATTAAGCACTAGCACAATGAGGTTTCATTGCCTATTAATACTCCATTTTCAGAGTCTACAGAGAGTTCACCGCTATCCATCAAACACACAGCTTGCATGTGTGGAAAAAACCACAAGTTTGATAAATTGGTTAAACCAAGAGAATAACTAGACAATGGGCTGGCTGGAATGACAACCTAGCGGAATTTTAAACAATGGAGCTTTGGTTTTCTCCCAATTAAGAAAACACCCTACAGAATCTCTTTTCAATGAAACTGACTCCTGCCAGACCCATGAAGGAAGCCAGAGAAGGTACAAACTTGGTGTCTGTGTTTTCATCGCGTCCAGCACAGCTTTAAACAGCTGGGATGTGCAGCTGACTGGTGCAGCAGCACAGGTCGTGGCTCTACAACCAAAACTCTACAGATGGGACCTCTCATCCCACCCAGCTGTACAGAATGAAACTCACTTCTGCAGCTTCAGTAATAGGGTACAAAACAGCTGTCAGCCTGGAGAATCCAGGCTGATTCTGATGAAGAAAAACCAACTTCAGCACTAGCCTTCCAAAAAGATCAACAGTCCCTCAGCCTGTAGGCAGGAGAAAGACCAAGATTCTGTTCTAAACCTGCACGCTCAGAACCGCAGAAAGGCCCACACAGGTTACCCTGCCCTTGGAGAAATTTCTCCTCAGACAGAGAATAGTAACATAGGAAGAACAGTTTTAAAATAGTCACTGTTAAATCACGCTGCTAAAAGGCTAATCTGTGAATAGCTCAGACTTAACAGTCCCAAGTTTGTTCGCTGCTTTTTCTTCCTGCTCCAAGATACAGATCCCTGCCAGCACGCTTCTGAAATCCGTACAGGTAATGCTTCTGGCAAGTACTACTGAGATAACGGCAATTTCAAGTGATAACTGAAATAACTTCCATGACTCTTCCAAAGGAAGAAAGGTCAGCTTGTATCTTCTGCCACCCCGCCCCCCCCCAGCACACCCACTTACAGGGTCTGAGAACCATCTGTTGGGAATGTTCGGCCTCTGCTGATCTACACAGACCACTTTTCTCATGTCTTCAAAACTGGGATCGTTTGGAACCAAGTCGTAAAACGGCGGTTTATAGTCTTCCACAATACCTGGGGAGACAGGAACCAGAGAGGCGTTACTTGGTGACTGTGCTGGTGAAACAGCATTTCTGCACAAAGACAGAACAGATGCAGTCTAAAACACACAGAAATCTTTTAAAAGTTAACACCATTGTGTCAAACAGCCATTAAACAACACAATAGCACTTACTAGCACAGAAACAGCTTTTTCTACCCAAAAAGTTAATTAATTGGCTCATATTACTATTCTACAAAGTAAGAACTATATTCACTTCAGAGATGCTTGAGCTGAATTGATGAGAAATAAATTCACTCGCCAAAAGGCCACCTTTTATAACACATGAAGGTTCACTGACTACCACAAAACCAGGATTTCAACTCACCAATGTAAAAAACTTAAGGTCCACATTGTGGTTTCTAATGGGCTTAGCACACACTTTGCAGGGTTTTATGATTCTTGAGAGAGTTCAATAAGCATGTCAGCATCTACAGACCCTCACACTGGTGCTTCAGATTTTATTTCTTGTTATTAAAATAGCAAAATACCTAGGGTAAGTGGCACCACATTCCATCACAAAGCCAAACACCCGAGAGGCTGTGGCACCCAGTGTCTGAACGCGTTTTCTAGGATTCTGTGTAGAAAAATGAGTCTCTGGTTCCTCTCACAACTGGCCACCCAGCTGACATCAAACTGGCAGGCTAGAAAGCCTTTTGCCTCCTCTCTAAGGCATGCATGCAGCCCTGCTGCTTCAGCTGTGGGTTAAGGTCACAAATGATCTATAGGGAGCTCAACTTTCTTAGGAAGCCAATTTAAAAACTGGTGTTCAATGACAGGCACTTGGGTCAGCAGCCTGGAGAAACACTGAGCGAATGAGGCCCTCTGTGTACAGCAGAAACATGGGCAGAACAATCCTAAAACTGCTTTTTAGCAGACTGGCAGCTGTCCCACAGTCAGACGTACGTGAAATCCAGGAGACTTTCTGTTGCTTTGGATATACTGAAGTTGAAAAGATTTTCTCAAACTTTGCTGCAGTGGTTGGGATTTAGTTTTATTGTTCTATCAGAGATGAAGAGCAAAATCCCACAGATCCTCTGTAAAAACCTGTAAATCCCTATCTGTGATGACTAGTCAACAAGGGAAATGTTCTTCAGGAGATGACCACTCAGAAAACAGGAGGGCAGTTCAAAGACCTGGCTAGCCAAGCGTGTTACCTTCACACAGTAACTAGCAGGCTGCAGGGTCTGCCCTGTGGTCCTCTGACACGGATGCAGAAGGACAGGGGACATTACACGCTGCAGAGTGAAGCATCACCCACATCACCCACCCTCCCCCTCCAAGCAATTCGTGATTGCACACACCAAACATCACCTCCAGGGCTGAACTCTTGTTTTTACACTCCTCCTGCTTCCTCCTAGAACTCACAGTAAACTTCATTCTGTGAACTCGGGAATACAGAAAAACCTCTTCTGTATCCACGTTGCCGATGCTTCAGTTTCAGATCGTTAGGGTATTACAGATGAACTTTAGCACTAAAAGAGAGAGCCTGGCTCTAATTTACTATTTCCATGCATATAGGGTATATAAGCGGCTGTTTCAGATCAGACACATTAACAAACATGAACTAAGCCAGGTCTGGACTTTACTCCAGTAGCCCGGATCTCCAGTGCCCTGATCCACCGCAGCCAAGCGCCAGGGACCCGCGGGACCAGCGCTGGCTCCGCAGCAGCCGGCCAGCGGTGCCAACGAGCCACTGCAACCTCTCGCCCACAGCGCTCCGCTCGCAAAGCTGTCACTGCCCTGTGACACGCTTCCCTCGCCCACTGCCCCGGGAGCCGGCCAGCGCTCGCCGCCAGGGAGAGCCACGAGCCGCTCGGCACGACCCAGCGCTCGCCGCTTTCCGGACAGTTTTAAGATGACTTCTGTAATTTACAAGATATTGTATTTTTTCCCCTGGGGTTGCTGGCTTTTTGCTACTCGAATCTGTTTGAACTCACACACGCAGCAGCGTTTTCTTCACCTCTATTCTCGTGACTTTAATGTCAGCCTGTCCTCTGCACACACACATCTACCTGCTGGGGCAAAGCAAGATCGACAGAGACACCTGAGCAGCGGGGACAGCCCTGCAGATCTAACGACCATCACACACCAGGGTGGCTTTGAGCAGGAACCATCTTCCGTGGCTGGTGTTACTGTTAAAATCGAACAGGATCACAACACGGGGAGTGACAGTGACGATTCACAGGGAGCAGAACTGTAAGTGCCAGGCACCAGGTACGGAACGACGCGAGGCACCGTGCAGTAGGGAGGGAGCACATTCAGAAGCAGTGAACAACCACTCTTCAAGCAAAAAGGTATCTTTAAAGAGAGTAAAATACCGATTTGAGGGCATAAAAACGCATTTTTCAGCTACAGAGAGAAATGTTGAGTGGCTCCTGCTACAGCAATACACAAAAAGACCATACACAAGTACTTCATTGTGGCAAAGGAGTTTCCTACCACATTTTCCTCCTTATACTAAGCCACAGCAGAAAAATACTGAGAATCACTGTGTCACCTTGAGGACCATTAGATAAGCTAATAAATAAATAAATATTTGTAAAAATAAACTTTAAAAAAAACAAAAACAAAAATACCCCACAAAACAAAAAAACCCAGACTTATTAGTCAGATCACAACTCCAGAGTCTCCATGACCTGAAGTACTAAACGAGGCTGACTCACTGGAATAGACCCTGCATTTCCACCCAGTAAATAAGAGATGACAAGTTTCCTTCAGCATGGGATTTCTAGCACAAGGGACAAGTGCCTGTGGCCCACCTCAGGAACACCATCACCCAGTTCACACGAGCACGCTCCCCTCACCTCAGCGTGCTCAGGACTCCCGGTGCCAGAGTCCTACTACAAATCAAACATGGTTATCCTTGTGACCACCTCATGAAGTGATGATTTCCACACAGATAAACACTCAGTGTTGAGAGAAAATGTTTAGTCCATTTCAAACCAGCGCAAGGAAATGGAATTACTCATGGCAACAGCCAGAGACGCCGAGCAAGCGGAAATAAGTACAGAGGAATTAGTACCCCTGTCACCTTAAACGTCAGACTTTGACGTGACCAATGTCACGATGTATCTGTATTACTGTGAAAAGTGAGTGCTTCCACGGTGGCGCTGAGCTCAGCCTGACCCACTGACTGCAGCACCTATTGTCTCTGGCAGGTCTGCAGTCCCTGCTGAGTGTCACACCACCCTGGGAAGCTGCCAGCACAACCTACACTCACTAGCTTAAAAGTAGCTCAGGTGTCTGTGAACTGCAGTTACTGCAGCTCTACATATGTATCAAAACCTCAGCAGGAGAATAGTTAAATAATAGGTGGAATATTTATTGGGAGAGGTAACCGGGTACTTTCCTGGAGAAAAGGAGGCTGAGGGGAGATCTTCTGGCTCTGTCCAAGTCCCTGAAAGGAAGGTGCAGTGAGGTGGGGGTGGGTCTTTTCTCCCAGGTAACAAGGGACAGGACCAGAGGAAATGGGCTCCAGTTGTGGCCAGGGCAGTTGAGATGGGATGTGAGGAAGAATTTCTTTGCTGAAAGGGTTCTGAGGCATTGGAAGGGATTGCCCAGGGCAGTGGTGGAGTCCCCATCCCTGGAGGGATTGAAGAGTCGTGTAGACACAGTGCTGAGGGACATGGGTTAGTCATAGGGGACTGGTCAGTGTTGGGTTCATGGTTGGACTCCATGAGCTTAAAGGGTTTTTTCAATCCAGACAATTCTGGGATGCTGTGAGATTGTGTGTATTTTTAATATATCTTATGTACAGTATACACACACATATATAAGTATAAATGTGTATCATATACAAAGAGAGCAAGACAACTAATATTCCACAAAGGATTACCAGCCTCCAAACAGCACTGTGACAGGACAGATTCCAGACAAGTTACTCAAAATTCAAGATGGGCAATAAAAACAAACTTATCAAACTCTTACACGTGAAGTTTTGTCACCACGTAGCCCAGCTGCTGTGTTCAAACAGAGCAGACTGCACACGGTGCCTACGTGTGAGCACACAGCCCTGCGAGCACTGCTGGTCCCATCCAACTGCCTCGCACGTTGCACTCAATGATCTTAAAGGTCTTTTCCAACCAAAGTGATTCTCTGATTCTGTGTGCTGGCTTCCCTTCCCATCACAGCCAGCATCACCTATTGCCCAGTGAATTGATTCATCGACCCCTGCCCGTCGTATTATGGCGACTGGCAAACTGCAGTCCTCCCAGACTGCTGAGACAGACGATAAAACTGTGCTGAAAACAATGAAGTTACAGTTCAAATTCTCAAGGCACTCACACTGACGTGAACTGCAACCCAGAGGTCTCCAAATATTGGGAAATGCAATGAGCAAGTCTTCATAACTGCCTACGACATACATTTGCCAATAAACAGAGCACATCATGAGAAGAATTAATTAACGCCATGCACTCACAGGAGTTTCTCCCTTTCTCTAACCAACCACATACACCTTCATCTGAAATCATCGCCACGCTTTTGTGATTCCGCTGACGTACGTTCTTGTACCAGAACAACACCCATTCCTTTTGCTGCACATGCCTCCAAGTAACTCCTCTGGCAGAGATGGGAGAAGGCAGGCGAGGTGAGGTGAGGAGCTCAGCTCTGGCCACCCCACACAGACCCTATGGAAGTTCCCTTCTGCCCCGCAGTCAGTCCTGGCACTGTCACTGGCTCCCAGCACGACAGGAGCTGCTCACTATGGACCCAGCAAGTTAAACTGCCCATCCGCAAAGATCACCCTGCCTTCTTCATTACAGAGAAACACCCATTTTGGTTCTCTTCAGAGCTATCAAAGCAAGCTCTCAGGCTTACAAGGAGACTTAAATTAGCCACTTCAGCCTACCTGATGCCTTTTGCCAACTCCAGGTCAGCTTTGTTTAAGCACCCTGTAAGTATCCGAGAGAGGACAGGGGCATTGGACAGTGCTCCAGGCCACAGGGAATCTCACAGCAACCTTGGAAGGTCTGAAAAATCTTCCCAGAAGTGCCACCCTCTAGCAGCGTTCTCAAAACAAGCCTCCCTGCAGTGTTTCTGGAGACAACTAGCTGCCTGTGGCTGCTGTGCTGAGAATTACCCGGAACAAGGGAGCAATACCTGTTTGGGTTTGTTTTATTGGTTTTCTGGTTTTGTTTTTTTTTTACTCACAGTTAAATTATTTTGGCCACCAACAGATAACAGATGAAGTAAAAGGATTCTATTTAGAAGAAGTCCTGTATTTCAATAGAGTAACAAGATTTGTTTGCTTCTGCTGCAGTTGCCTGTCCTCTCTGCCCACTCCCGGTAGCGTAACGTTCCCAGCGTAGCACCATTTGGACAGGATTTCCCCTGGGGTCAGGGAATGGAGAGGAGATCGTGCACAACAAACAACACAAGGCCAGTACCTTTATTTCCACTAGAATTTGAGCCAGGCTTTGTTACTCTGCACTAGCTACCACAAGCCTTTGCCTTATTTCAGCCCACCTCTGTCCACCCACCACTCCCATCTCCACAAAACCACTCACACTCCCTCCTTTGGCTCTCAACAGCTGCTTTTTGAGAACATCTCTAAAGCCATCCTAATCCTTTCCTCCAAAGTCTTCTCTCAAATTCTGACTTGGGATAGTTTCCACCAAAAAAAAAAAAAAAAAAAAAAAAAAAAAAGCCTGTGGCCAGGGCAGTTGAGCCACTCTGACTATGGCATATTGCTCTGGCCATGCCTGCTTCAAACAGGCTGGATCCTAAGCTGGCAGGCACCCGGCTGGCACCAGCCCTACCTGCCCTGCAGGGATCCAGCCTACCCTCAGGGCTCAGAGGTCCAGCAGCAAACAAACAACTGCTCGTCTCTTCCTGATATCCGTTACAGAATCCCGGATTGGACTTAGTGGGAATAGATCAGACAGACACAGAGCAAGTAAATGTGTATGACAATTTAGAATTCCCTCAGATTTAAACATGTCACCTTTAACAATCCATCACAGTCAGCATCTGCAGACGTGCCTGAAGGGCACCTTCTGCGTTCTCCTGTCTGCTTGGGTCCAGAGAACACAACCCGAGGTCCAGAAGTCAGAGAGGACCTCTGAGCCGACAAGCACAAGAAATCACACCAGCAGATACCCAGCTTCAAGGCTCTTAAATTCAGACTCCCGTTGCCCGGGAAACACGGAGCAACGTTGTGCCCTACAACACAGGACTGCAGTGGTACTCTTCCCAAGAACGGTACTTTGACCAAGTCCTGCTTCATGCGTGTATTTAACTTGGTAAAGCAACTGCTCTGACTTCAACCAACTAACAACTGACAGGACAAGAGGAAATGGGCTCCAGTTGTGGCCAGGGCAGTTGAGATGGGATGTGAGGAAGAATTTCTTTGCTGAAAGGGTTCTGAGGCATTGGAAGGGGTTGCCCAGGGCAGTGGTGGAGTCCCCATCCCTGGAGGGATTGAAGAGTCGTGTAGACATAGTGCTGAGGGACATGGGTTAGTCATAGGGGACTGGTCAGTGTTGGGTTCATGGTTGGACTCCATGAGCTTAAAGGGCTTTTCCAATCCAGGCAATCCTGGGGTTCTGCAAAAGCAAGAGCATCCCTGAATTCTGATCACTTCACTTCCTACATATTTTCCTTCTGCTTCTTAGGTTTTGTCACGAGAAACAGCCACCTAAAAATATTCACTATGGTTTAAAGACACGTGGAAAAAGTTTCAGAGACTTTATGATCTAAAATTTTAACTTAACTGACTATCTGGTATGAATTATTTCTCATCACAATGTAGGATGTAGCAAGGGACTCTCTCTCTCTTCTCTTAACAATGCTCAGCCATGGTACCAACACACCAACAACTTCACCACAGGCAGCAAAGCGTCAGGAATCGAAATACTTTGGCGGTTCAGTATTCTACCGTGCATCCTATGCATTCTGGTGGGAGATGCTTTGCCGTGAACTACCATTTGCTTAAGCCCTTCCAAAAACAAGTGAAGGAGCCCCAGAGACTTACCGTTGCTAACCATGCGTCTAGCTACTTCCCAAAGGACCAGCCCAAAAGCCCAGATATCGACCCTCTTATAGGAGTCAAAGCAGTCTGCCTGGATGGTTTCGTCCAAGACTTCTGGAGCCATGTAGCGCTTGGTACCCACCCGGGGATTGTTCCCCACATCCAACTGATTGGTGCTTTGGGAGTGCATCACCGCAAGGCCTGAGGGACAGGAAAAAAACACTGGTCAGTCTCCTTTAAAACTACAGCAGCAAACGTTCAAAATGACATGTGAGCAGTGACATCCATCAGACAGTTTCTTAAAAAGAAGGAGCTGAGGGTCCAACTGTCCAAAGACCAACTGGGTCAGCTCCAAAGCAGCCATCAAAAACAGCCACTGTGTCCGTAGACTTAGGCCAATTATCTCCTCAGGGATTACCATTAAGTGTGTTATTGCACTGTTGCAAAATGTTGTCATTAAGTGTTTTGCAGCCACTGGATGTCACCAGCGCTCTAGGCACGTATACACAGAAGGTCAAGCATCTGCTACTTAGAAGAAAACAATTTTACACAGCATTCAAATTTATTTATAGAACTTTTGGGTAGGTGGATATATCCGAACTGTGGGGAAGAGAGAAGAAAAACACTGCATGACGGATACACACAAGTTAAAAAAACAAAGCTGGAAAATAAAAAACACCATATTTGTAGTAGCTTGAAAAATAAACATCCTCAAGCTGATCTAGAATGAGTCAGTCAAAACCACTTTACCTGGTTTCTGCTAATTACTAAACATTTAAGCAAAGAACATTATGTGAGGGACTAAATTGCTGTAAATTTGGAAACACACAGAGTACTCATTTTGCCATGGTAAACAGAAAGCACTGCAAATTGAGCAGCAACAGGTGCATGACATAACTAAGCAATAGGACAGACGACACAAACTCTCTCCTTAATTTCCTCAACAACTCTTGTCAGAGTAACATATACTATTTACCTTTAACATCAGTTTTAGATGAAACTCAAAAAGCTTTTTAACTCAGTCCCACAAAATTTAACCTATCACCAGATCATTTTTTTTTCCCTTCCAAAAACAAGTCTGTACTTCACCATAACAGAAATTTGGAGAGCACTTTCCTACAATTTAAATGCACTTCAAGTAATTCCAAGCTGCTAAGGAAATGCTTATGGCACCTCTAGAAAGATTCCATCTACTAACCCCAAGACTGCAGAGAAGATAATCTGGAGAGCCTGCTCCCCAGATAAAAGTATTTTTTGTCATATAGATATATATATACACACACACACACACAGGGCATATATGTATATACACACACACACACAGGGCATATATATATATATACATATACACACACACACACACACAGGGCATATATATATATATATACACACACACACACACAGGGCATATATATATACACACACTTACACATTTCTGTATTTGTTTATAGTAATTTATATTATACAATACATATGGTTTATATTTTTTAAAAAAACAACAAACTTCCACATTGGAAACAAAGGTTATAAAACAAATTTCCTGGCAAACTCTGAAGATGCCAAGACTTTGGAGAACGCTTTGATAAAAATCATAACACTCCATCCAAATTGGGCAAAACAGATTCAATAGAGTGACAGGTCAAAGGTTTAAGGCTGAGGGATGCAAGTCAGCATCCTGCACACTACAAACTAAGAAGTGTTGCAATAAGGTCAGGGGACAACAATGTTGTAATCAGGTTCTCATCATGGTGGCATCTGTGCTGTTTATGAGAGTTGGGAAGCAGATATTGCACTGCTTCAGCTTCTTTCACCTCAGGAGATCTCAATGCACATTTAACTGAAGGGCACAGACGTGCTTGTCAGAGGAGCTCTTACTGTAAGATACAAAGTCTTAAAAAAAAAAAAAAAAAGGAAAAAAAAAGAAAAAGCTTGACAGGAATACAAACTGATGAAACACAGTGGTTTTCAAGACACAAAACAATCCTCTGCAGTATACTGGACTATCTGCTAGAAAAAAAATTGAGCAAACATTCTTATTAGCATTCTTTGCTCCTTCCTTACAAATACCAGTGCTTGTTTCAAACAGAGGTTCACTACTCTACATGGATGGACACGGGAAGGAGGGAGTAAGAGAACTGTTGGGCTTTTCCTTCTTTTAGGATGAGAATTATTCTGCTGTTCCATAAAGTTGCTCAACTAAGACCTATTACCATGCACGTGAATTGCTTTAGAAGTAGGAGGGCAGAACTTTTCCACAGTGCTGACTGACTGAAGCTAGACTGACATCCATCCTTGGACTTTATCACACAGTTGCTGCTTAGCTAGAACATATTTGAAACAGACAGTTTTGTAATTGCAACTCTGGAATCTGGGCGTGCTGTTGGAGATACCAATTTCCAGCACACTGGCTGAAGGACCGGCAGCCAATTCAGGAAGCTCTTGTCTGCCAGCCAGAAGGACCAGGACTGAAGGGCAAGCCCCAGGCTGCCCTGAAGCGCAGGCATGCGGCACCCAGGCTGCCAGCAAACCAGTCACAGGATACACGTCAAAGTGATTTTATTCCTCTTTGGCTTCGGAGCTGACACCTGTTCCTAATGGGAAGTCCAGAACCTGGTGTGACCAACAGAACCCAAGGCCAGCTGAGCTCCAGGCACTGCAGTGAATCTGCTCACACTCACCGCTCTCTAAGTGCCGTTTTTCTTGTATGGTGCATTTGTTGGAACACAGGAGGGAAAAAAGACACAGCTATACAGAAAAAAAGGGCATGAATATATGGCAGAAGCAACAAACCCTTTGGTAGCTCCCCTTTGCAGATAAGGAACAAACAAAGAACCTGTCAGATATATGTTTGAGGATATAAAGTTTTCAAAAAATAGCTATTTTAGCACCACAAAAACGAACTGGGAAATGTTTATTGCTGTGCTCTCTCAGAAAGCCTCTCAAATATCTGAACCCCCTAGATACACAATGTAGTAGATTTCACTGTATTAGTGTGATGTCAATCAATGTCGATATGTGCTGCCCTCTCCTCAGTGTGAACTACAACTTTATTTAAAAGTCATAGAATCATCGAATGGTTTGGGTTGGAAGGGACCTCGAAGCTCATCCAGTCCCAACCCCCCTGCCAGCAGCAGGGACACCTTCCACTAGACCAGGTTGCTCAAAGCCTCATCCAGCCTGGCCTTCAACACTTCCAGGGAGGAGCAGCCACAGCTTCCTTGTCAATCTCTGAAGTTTTGTATTTTCAACTTACTGCTCCATTTTTTACTTACCATTTCCTCTTCAAATTTAGACAGGACCAGGTGTGTGGTTTTCACATTTTCCTTGTGTGTATCTAATGTTTCTCAGGCAAAAGTGATAGGAACTATGCAGTGTTATTATTATTGGAAAAAATCACATCTCCCAATACACTTTTTGTCTAGCCAATGACTCCTTAATACTCTTGTTCTACTGCTATTTCCTCCTCTGTCTTCAGAGAAAAGGAAAAAAATATTGTCAGATATACCCCTGGGGTGCAAACGAGCCATACTGCGACTGTTTCTAAACATCCTTCCAGCTTAAAGTCTAAAATCAGTTGGTCAGAGAACCTAGTTTTGGGCTCACTGAATTATCTGGCCAAAAACTCAAGCTGGATGGACCTACAGAGCTTGGGACAGTGAACACAGAGTTCTTCAACTGCAAGTGGGAGGACATTTATTAGCTCAGAAATGAGCCGAAGCCTCATAACTACTGTGTTCTGGGATCTGTGAGAGGAACTGACCAGTGAAAACTCCAGAATTCCTCCAAAGTGTCAGCTCTGTTCCTGAACTGGAGGCGAGGCGGGTCTCTGCGGAGTGGCATTTGTGGGCTCTAAGTGCCACCTAGTGGCTGTCACAACCCTTCAGGGTGACACCCCAGCACGACGAAGGTTATTTTCAGTTGACTTTACGACTTTTACAGTTAGAGTTACCAACGCACTAAAACAGGAATGCACTGAGTATATTAGCATTGAAATGAACTCACCTAAATCTGCTATGCAGCACTGTCCATTCTTCTTAACGAGGATATTTTTGCTCTTCAAGTCCCGGTGAGAAATGGCAGGCTTCCCCTGGGTTCCAAATATCTCTATGTGCAAATGTGCAAGACCACTAGCTATGGACAGTACTATGCGTAGGCAGCTGACAGTGTCCAGGGTAGTGAGCTGTAGATAGTCATACAGAGACCCCATTTCATGGTAGTGGGTAATTAACCACAACTGGGTACTAGAGTTTCTGGAAGTCATATCAGATGCAATAAAACCTAGAAAGAGAAGATGAAAAAAGGAGAAACAACAACATAAAATGACTGAGTTCGTTCAAGACTCCCCCAAGAAAACAATCAACACTACTAGGCCCCTCTTACAATTTAAAACTGTTTAACCAAAACTTTTCCCTGATTGTACTACACTGAAAACAGATCACAGGTATTACCATGATGAAAAAGAGCTGACGTGTTCTGGAACTCTAACTCAAGTCCATTCACAAGAATGTATTTATGTATTTTGTCAGTCACTCCAAACACAACTACTTGTTAGGACCACACACTTAAATTTTTATTTTTTTTTTCCTCCTTCTTTTGGAAGGACTTGGGGGTCGGGAAGTTTCTAGTTAAACAAGACCACCAGGTTGCAGCACATCTGCTGCTGTCCACTCAGTAGGATTCCACTGGAGAGAAGCAACACCCCGAACAGACAAGTTGTAAGGAATCACTGCCATGTTTAAGGAGAAGCAGCAGCCAGTGCAGGCTGCTGAGAAAAGTGTCAAACATGTTTCATGTACCCATCACATCTCGATAAACAGACACTTTATGTTGTGCCAGCTTCACAGTTACAGACCAGGTAAGTCTCTCTGAAGCACCTCAACAATCAACCTTGACATGTCAAAAGCCTGCTGTGCCCACAGGAAATGTCACACCCTTCTGACCAACTGCAGACTGAAAAAAGCACATCTCCACATGGCAACGCCTGTGCCCAGTGGTCTGTGATTGCCTAAAAGGCTGCAGAGGGATTGCTGCAGCCTGATCAATTACCAGACTGTGGAACTGCTCTACGCTGCTGTGGGCTCCAAACGCCTCATCTTAACTGTACACCAGCTCACAACAGAGCCACAGGACAGCAACAGCAGCAGATGGCTAAGGAGAGCACTGCAGCACCAGCAGATGAGCACACCAAAAACCAAAGAACAGTAACTCTTCTACTTTAGGTACTAGAGAGTTCAACTGGTGTGCAACTTCCACAGTGAAGTAGGGCAGAGCACCTTTATGCACCACAGCTGTATTTCACAATGATTTTCTACAGAGGAAGATAATAAAAATTATCTTTGAAAATTATGAACTCGAGAACTGCTTTCAAAAGTGTGGTGCCTTAAAGCTGAACCCAAAATTCAGGAGTAGCTGCCTTTGTTACCTCTGAACTTACCGTGCATCAGTACACTTGGCCTCAACAGCTTTAGCTGGGAAGCAACAAAAGTTTTATTCCCAAGTTAGAGGAACAAATCATGTTTATTAAAAGCCCTAATATGACATTTATCCACTGCTTTCTCTCCTGAAGTCAGATTTCTGCACAATGTGACACTTCTGTAGTATTGTTTAATTTTGCATCTAAAAAAATTCTATAAAACAGCCAACAAATTTGACAGTTATCAAGAAAGACTAAACAGAGACAGAGGAACATGGGAAATGTGTAATGTAATTTCAGCCAAGTTACTTGCTTGCTCTCGGGAAGGAAAGTTCAATAATTCACATTTCAGGAGGCCACCAAATTCTTTTTGTAGTAACAAAGGAACTGCTTCAGGAAACATTAGACAAACGCCTAGCAGGGCGAGCTACAGAGCCAAGGAATATTCTCTGACAGGAAACAAGGAGCCCAAGTAAAACTGACGGAAGACAGATAGACTGTGGGTGAGGTAATGTCAGCACACAGAAAACCTGCTGCTGCTTTTATTTGTAAAGGTGGCACACCGGTGAAAGAAGGTCAAGTCTTCTAGGAATCAAAAGGGCTGCTTCCACTTCAGCCGTGGCTCACAAGACAACCATTTTCCAAGCCCTCAGAACTGAGCACACAAGGTACAAGGGATGCAGAAGACTCCCAGTCATCATACTTTAATATTATTTACAGGAAAATGAAATGCATCATAGAGTAACAACTATACTTGAAGTTTAAACACCAAAGGACCTTAGTCTGACTCTGAGCAGAACAGTTAAACAGAAGAAAACATTAATGGATTCACACTGCAGTTTATTTAGGCACAAGAAAAACTGTTCAAATATTCAAATCTCAAACTCCTCCCCACTTTTTCTTCCTTTATTTCTCTCAGGTAAACTGAAGTTATTTAAAAAAAATACCCCTAGATCCACTAGAACTTCTCCACCTAACACACTGTGTAATACTCTTTTGCCATTTGGCTGCCCTGCAACATCAGCTGCGACACTGAATTCTTAGCATGAGGGTCTGTGGCACCTCCATTCTCCTCCACACGCTGTGCTGCCAATAATTGATTAATCTGGTTGACTGCTTCTCACTAGAATATTTCTGCAGGAGGATGACAAATCGTGGTTGCTACGACACTGTCTCCAGCTGAGACTCAGACTTCATTACCCTCCTGCAAGTCTTCCTCCTAAAATTTCCCTTCAACTATTTGTTACAAACACAAGAGCCTAATCTCAAAAATTGCAAGAGATGCAGCACATCTGCAGTGCTTTGCACGTGAGCTGTTCAGTTAACTCACCTTTACACCAGCCAAGCCAGGAAACATGAATGTGGTTGTTCTACTTACCTAAAATATTTTCATGCCGTAGCAATACAGTGTTGTACAATTCGGTTTCCCTGAACCAGGATTTTTCATCCCTTGAAGAGAAGATCTTCACAGCTACATTTTCTCCTTGCCACTGACCCCTCCAAACTTCTCCGTAACGGCCCTTTCCTGATGGGGGAGAAAACATAGTAAAAGTTGTCAACTAACAATCTTAATACAGCAGGATTAGCTAATAGGATGGGAACTCAACAGTTACGGCCCAAATATCACACTGATGTAGTCTGATCACACCTGCATACACTTTTTACTGCTTCCACTGTCACTCTGTGCTCCACTGTCCTTAATTTTTCCTGTTTTTTTTTCATCTGCAAGCTCTGAGAGTATGGATCTCTTCCCCCTTACACCTTGGTAGAGTACACAGAGTGTTTGTATTGGGCAGGTGTAATTATTCAGCTGCCAGCAATGAAAGAACTTTTGCAGCTTAAGCAACTTGGACAACACAGTACAAGGTCAGTGCATACAACAAAAATAAATCCATGAATTCTGAAGTCAGGGGGATAGGGAGAATATATGATGTTGGGGATACAGCCCTTACATTTCTATTACATCATCAGCCCTTGCAAAAACAATCAGCACAGCCAGACACATAAAATGCAGAAAGATAGAAAAAACCCAAAAAACCCACCCACAAACAAAAAAGGATAAAGAAAAACCCACAAAAACCCCAAAACCCCACGCCTGTCCTGCGATCAGGGCACACTGTCTGCATGCCAAGCTTTCTACCCAAATAGTTCAGAAGAATACAAGAAATTATCAAGTGCTCAACAGCAAAGCAACATTGTGGACAGGGCACACTGGAAAAGTTCTGATCATTGCCATTTTCATTGCTGCCCGAGTACAACAGCCTCAGGCTTCGTGCAATGAATTGCGCCAGGTCTGACAACTATAAATACCCACACTCTGTCCTTCCTTCCTCTGCCTTCAGTGTTCTTTAGAGGCACCAATGAATCAGCAGCAGGTGCCACCAAATGAAGAGAGACACCCAGCACCGATGCCTCAGTGCTGTCCCCCAGAAGGGACTTCTTGCACAAGCACTTGCCTCTGGTTGTGCTCCACAGGCTAAAACATAGGGGTGTCTGGAAATAGTGCCAGCTGAGCTAACTTGGGAGCAGGCATCATTCCAGATACACTTATTGACACATATATACATGCAGAAAAAAGATATGCCTACATTGCAGGCAAAACCATCTCGTGCACATCACATTCCACTGTTTCTGATCAAGAGAAATTGCAGAGCGTCGGAGGACGTACACTTGGATTTAATGCAAGTGTGAACGTTTGTGCCTACTCAATACACATACTATGAGCCAGAAGCAAAGAAATACTGGTAAAATGTAGGCCCAGTCCCTACAAATTCGTAGACTCACCTGTCTTTGTCTGGGGCTTGATTCAACACCCTGACAAGTTAAAACTTCTAGTGACTTACAGGAAGGTGTTAACCTGTTCTGAGTTCACACCACTGAAGAAGCAGAATAAAACACACTTTAAAAGTCTTCTTTTTTTCCCCTAATAGGATCAATCATTATTATGCCTTTCTCATCTCTTTAGTGCCCGTATGGCATCTTGGCTCAATGTCTCTGCTTCAGGATAATTTTGACCCAAATGCTTCCTAAAATTACTAAATTCAAATTTAACACTATTCAATTAATAATACTTATGTGCTGAAGAAAATCAGAAAAATCTAATGGACCTTTAAAATTAACACTAAAGTCCTGAAAAAACCCTAAAGACCCAGAAGAGTTTTAGTCAAGAATTACTCTTTCAGGTGGATAAGAGCAGCAAGAGCACATCACTGCCTGCACGGTCCCAAAGCACCAGTGTAAGTAAGCTACAAACCAGTTGTATTATCACTCTAATAGCACAGAATCACACTTTTTTTTAAATGCCATTTTAGCCACTTTGCTTCGTGCTTCAACTCCAGATCCCAAGCCTAGATGATCACCTCCTAATTCTAAAGCTTTCTAATTGAACACTATTTAACAAAAGTTTCAGTTTGACAGTTTCAAACTTCAATTTGATCTTGTGTTTCTAAACACAGTTTGTTTTGCTTACAAAGTACCCAAACAAGCCTAGTTTGTATTTTCTAACATCACCTCACTGAACAAAGCTTCAGTGTTTTCAATGATGAAGCACAGATGATATTTGTCCCTTTCTTCTGCATAGATCTGAAAAGAATTTTTTCACTTCACTTTCCAAAACCAAGTATGTTCTGTAAGCTGAAGCCTGAAGAGTTTCATATGTTATATAAGCAACTGAGGAAAAACAGATAATTAGGATGGGAGATAAAGCTTTTTCTCTGCATTTGCTACCAAGACTTGGCACTAGAGGGTAACGAGATTTATACTAACCTACACACTCTACAAGTGTGATCTGGCGAGCCACCGTCCTTTGCACCAAGAAAGGAAGTCCAGAACCACTTCCAGATGTGCAGGAATGATCCAATAAATCCTGTTCAAAAGGAAAAGCAGAAGTTTATAACCTGTGAGACACTACTTTTTTTCCCCTGTTTAAATACGCAAAGCTACACCACTTCCCAGGACAGGTGAGGTTAAAGCTTACTGGTATCTCAATGGCTCTGGTGATGCCATTTGATTGCTCACCATCAAGCCCTACTGTTGCCATCGCTGTATAGATGGACAGAGAATGCTCTTCTCAAGATTTTACCTCTTCAGAGAACATCCCATGAACAGAAGAGACTGCCAGGGGAGCCATAACTTATGCATAATCCCTTTCTGTTGGAAATTTCACACACAACAGCAAACAAATCATTTCATTCTCAGATTTCGTATTCTGTCTCTATATTTCATTTGGCATTACAGTACAATTTGGTTTAATACAACAACCATTTTGTTTAATACATAAGTAACAATAAATGTACTGTCTGTGAACCTGGAAGCTCACTCGTAGCCTACGAGCTCTCCTCTGACATAAAATTATACCCTTTTCCAGCACTTTGTTGTCCTCCTGCTTAGTTTATGCTCTCTCAATTCTGTACGCCACCTATTTCAAAAAGGTTAATAGAAACTTTTTCCCCCCTCACAAATTTTCTATGTCTTGCAACAGAGAGCCCTGAGAAGAATGACCACAAGCACATCTGGCACCACAGGGGTTCCTCTGATAAATTTCAAGTCCCTGCCCCAAATTAGAACATCTTTAAACGACAACACCCAAATAATTTATAGTAAGTCTCCTTCCCTAAAGTGGCTGAACCACACTAGATTAACAGTACCTTCCCCCCCACCCCCCAAAAAAAGAGAGTAGTAATTCTGTGGTAAGCAGCAGTCAAGTTTTAGCCCAAACTATTCAAGCTTGGTAGTTATTTATAACTGAAAAGAGTTTTAAAATCAGCAAGGTGATAGGAGTACTACCTGTATCACCTACACTAGATGTGTCATTGATACACCAGAAAATTCTCCCTGACAAGTCTTTCTTAAAAGTTTTTATCCATTTCTGTTATTTTTAGTGCATGGAAACCAGGCTTTAAACTGTAAGCTTATTAAAGAAAAAAAAGGAAAAAAAAGAGCGAGATTCTAATTGAGTGTTAAAATCCTATTAGCCTTTAAAATGCTAATACCAGTTACTTTTAGGGTTAGAACCTCCACACTAGCTCAAAGCATTAACAACTGTATTACTGGACTTTTTTTTTTCCCTTTACAAAGGTAAACAGTATAAAAAAGCATATGCATAACCAACTTTTCAATATTTCCTGCAAAATGCACTACTGGGCTTTAACCAGATCTGATGAAATCTCATTTTTCCTAACAACTTTTCAAGAAAAAAATAATTTAAGAATGACAGGAGACTGCTATTTTGCTTTTTTAATACAAACTGAGACCTCATTTACCTTCCTGCTTGTATCAGAAGAAAAAAAAAAAAAAACTAACCAAAAAACCCCAAACAAACCAACCAAACTTCCAGTAGCAACTGTAAAAACAAGACTTGAAAAGGCCACAGCTCTTTCCATTTCCCATTTGGAAGCTCAGGGCTTTCAGCATTTGCTACACTACGCAGACTAACCCCGAATGTAAACTAATCTAATGTGTAACAAAACTAGGGATTTAAAATATACAACAGAGAAGAAAAATCTGGAATTTAAAGAAGACTTACTGTTTGGATAAACATTTAGAAACAAGGAGCTATCAATTTCTTTTCACATCACCAACACTCCAGAGGCACTTCAGTCTTAAAGCTAAAAGGGTCTGAGGGCTGAGAACAAACCAGGTCCATTAGACCAAGCCTTTACAGTTAGCAACTTCTCCCATTTCTTTAAAAGTGAATTTTGATTTATTCTTCTCAGGTTTTATCACCATTTCCAAGGAACATTCAATGACTTGCCCTGCAAAAGGTTTGCAAATGGAATGGAAATGGTCTCGCACTGATAAGAGGTAAGAGCTGGTAAAAGCTGGAAGTCAGCACTTAAGGACAGATAACCAGTTGCACACTTGCCTAGTTCATGGTGATCATCTCAAAAGTAGCTGGTTTTAAAACACTAACACTAATCAAGCCTTGTGGGCTAATTAAAGAGAGCCAAAGGCATAAAAAAAAAAAAAAGATTACCAAGTATAGTTTATACAGGGCCAAGCTGAAGCAGAACAGCAGGGCAGAGGCAGAAAGCTGCTGCAGTCTGCACCAGGCTTGATCCTGCAGTTACACCAAGTGCCTGGACATTCCGAGCTCTAAGCAGGAGGCAATCTCCACTGCTCCATCTCCCCAGGGAAGCCAGCATTTAGAGACCACACAGTGATCAGAGTGGCCACCCTAAGGTCCCTCTAGACCAGTATCTTGTCTGACCATACCCAAATGCAACGCCCTTTATTAGGGTACTACAGGTGGAGTGAATCAGGGACACAGACATGTAGGAGTTATGAGACATATGGAAGTATATAGGGGCACTGGGATATTAGAATATTGGGATACTGGAAGTGAAGTAGAAGCAAATATGGGAATACTTTAACATATATGATACTTTCCTCTAATGCTCCCCCAGCCTCCAAGCACATTCAGAGCTACATTTTTTTTTCCCCACCTTAATGTGCTTAACAGTCTTCTCATCCTGTTGGTTTTTGAGTGTACACAAACCTGGAACATCTAGAAAAATAGTCAGGCAAAGAGTTCCACTGGTTCAGTTACCACTGCGTTAAGAACCACCTTCCTTATCTGCATCCTTGCTCTTACCTGCTCATTTTGACGCCTCCCCCTGTAATTGTACTGCCGAAGGGGAACAACTGATTCCTATCCATCCTCCCCTTACCCCTTGCCATGTTGTATGTCTCCATCATATCCCATCCCCTTAAGAGAACCAGGCTCCTCTTCCCAGCTGAAGCACTGGTTTGCTTAGTTCAAAAAAAATGCATCCTGGGGCATCCAGATGACCAGGAGTCCAATCACTCAGGTTTAACATATTCTTCCTCAAAGAAGAATCCTCCCTGTTCCAATGCTATCCCTTACTGGTCATCTCAAACCCTGAAAACTTACTGGTCAGCACATACTGTCTCGTGGATGAAAAGGTTTTCCACAGGACTCTTCCAGCACTTTTTCACAGCAGTATTTTATAGACACATCTCTGCCCCAAAACAAAGAAATGCAAGAAAATTTTCCAGCTCCCTAAAATAGTTCAATTTGCTGAGTGGTCCCACAGACCTTTCTTTTAATAAATTTCCACACCTGGGCTTCCAAAGCAGTTGCCAACTTTCAGGCAAGGAGGTGCAACCATTTTCTAGGGGTTTTGGGGGGGGTTTTTTGTTTGTTTTTGTTTGGTTGGGGGTTGTTTGTTTTGTTTGTTTTTTGGTTTTGTTTAACATGGTCAAAACTGCTTCCCTCAGTCGTGGTAACCAACACTTTCTAAAGAAGGTATTGAAGGTTATTCCTCACTTAAAGAAATACTCATTTCAGTTTCTCCCTCCTACAGACACAAACACAGTCCAAAACACAGAAAGAAAATAATCAATGTATTTAGTAGCATATTATTATTAAAAATATTTGTGTTTTGGACCCTTTTTCTTTAGCCACTTTTCAACAGTGGCTAAAGTGCAGTGAAAGTACATCATGGCATGAAAGCACCAAAATGGAAAATGTTCCAACCTCTTAATGCTGAAGAGATTTTATTTCAGAAATGTAAGGCTTTCTCTTTGCACTGGTTTCAGAAACAAACACTCGAGCTGCCTCTGACACCTTACTTGCTGAGTTTCGATAGAGCCCAGGGAAGCTGCTGGGAACACTTTTTTCCTGGCCTCAAGTGAAAGGGTAAGATATATTAAGTCTTTAAAAAGGAAACATTTGCCCATGTCATTTTATTTTCCAGAGACTGCACGAAAAAGAACATATTTTAAAAAAACAAATTTTGAGTAAACAGTTGTCTTTTCTTAAAATTCCTATCGCTCTTCTGCCAACAGAATTCCACTTATTTCCTAGTCATCCAAGAGCTCTTCTACTAAGATCAGGGGAGTCAGGTTTGAAATTTTTCCAAGTTAAAAACATCTGTATTTTCTTCTTCCCCTAGCATCACATCTGTCCTACCTTTCAGGCTGTCCTTTGTACATTCTTTACACCTTTCATGTCACTCCAGTCTACCCAGCAACCAGACATACTCTGTTTTGCTGTTCAGACACAGGAACATAAAACAATTTAGAGCAACTCTCTGGGTCAAAGGACCTATAGTTGCAAAAGCAACTGCAGCTCTGTGAGCACAGGGATGCCACCACAGAAGTCCTGATGGTAAGTGGCATCCCCCGGCAGCAAAAGGTCCCGTTACTGACATGGCCATGTCTGGAGGGTAGGAGAAGGGAGTCTGGAGGTGAAGAAAGCTCACACCCATTTTCACCATGCACACAGGTTACTTACTGCCAACGTGCTGTCTCCAACGTTTGATGCAATGAGTCCCTCAATTGTGCCATATTCTGCATCTCTAGAATTTAGCCTCTCCATGTGGTTCTTCTGTATTCTCCGGATGATCAGCATGGCTGCTGCAGCAAAAACTATCAAGACTAGCACAGGGGCCAGTATAACAATGATTAGTGTTTCCATGCTGTAACCTGCAGCTTCTTGAAAGGTTTGTCCTTGGAAAGGAGAGGGGAGGGGGGAGAAAAAAAAAGTGAATTTCCAGAGAAAGTCTTTGAAGCCAGTAGCACTAACACCAACGTTTAACTTGGTAGCCACCTAGTCAGAAAGAGAGGCCATGACCCAGCCGGAGCTGAGCATGCACTTAGAGAAAGGAGCTGCCACAGCAACACCCTGCAGAGCTGTCAAAACAACCCACGTGTGACTCTGCAATTCCTCTCAGGCAGTAACTCAACCCTGACCCTGACTCTGACCCCCAGTATCCATCCAGCAATACAGACCATTCAACCTGTGGCCACCAGATGTGCGCCCCTGGGCCCCAGGGTGGGGAACAAGGTGGAAAGGGCCTTACTGCGCTGATTCAACCCTTCCTCTCAAGTAGCACTGAAGCCATCTTGCTCCCATCACATCAGATGAAAGCCAAACCTTTTTTTCACAGAATCACAGAGTGGTGGGGTCAGAAGGGAC